TTTTTTTTTTAAGGAATTAAAACAGAAAATGACTTTTTATGATGTTATCAATTGTAATGCAGCTGTTATACATCCATTTGCTGAGCACATAGCATATTTTTTGCTTTTCGCAATTCCAATGCTTACAACAGTGGTGAGTGGTACTGCCTCTGTGGGATCCATATTTGGATACATTACCTACATCGATCTCATGAACAATATGGGACACTGCAACTTTGAGCTCATTCCTAAATGGATTTTTTCAATCTTTCCTCCTCTCAAATATCTCATGTATACACCCTCGTAAGTTTTTCGACTTACTTTACGATCAGAATTTTAGTACTTATCCAATCAGTGTTGTTAACGTGCTTATTAGTTATGGTTAATGACCTAATAGAGTATAGTTGATCATTTTGTCCGTAGCTGTTAGTTAGACTAACGAAAAAGTTGATATGGCCATCTACTTGACATCGTAATTGGCCTTTAACTTTATGCCTCGTTATCTTTTCTACTAGTCAAACTAAAGGATATAGACAGAATGATTAACTTGAATTATTGATCCATCACTTGAAAGATGAGTTTGAATTTGTTATTTGACTTTAACATGGAAAAAGTTTAATTCCTTGATAAACAGGTTTCATTCTTTGCATCATACACAATTCCGGACCAATTATTCATTGTTCATGCCAATCTATGACTACATATATGGCACCATGGACAAGTCTACGGATGAATTGTATGAGATTTCACTAAAAAGGGAGGAAGATTTTCCTGATGTGGTGCATTTAACACATCTGACAACGCCAGACTCCATTTTTCACCTCCAAATTGGATTTGCTTCTCTTGCCTCTAAACCTCAGAACTCCAAATGGTACATGTGGTTGATGTGGCCTGTAACATGGTGGTCTGTTGTCTTAAATCTCGTAAAGGGATGCTCGTTTATCACGGAGAGGAATTCTTTGGAGAAACTCAGACTGCAAACATGGGCAATTCCAAGATACAGTGTACAGGTAAGAATTTTTATCTTGATAGAACATCGTATTTTAGTGGTGTAATTTAAAAGAGAATGGTTACATGCTTTTGATGGTTTTATAGTATCTTGTTAAATGGCAAAAACAAGCTATCAATGGATTGATTGAAGAAGCTGTTCTCGAAGCAGATGCACGAGGCGCCAAGGTGCTAAGTCTTGGTCTACACAACCAGGCAAGGTTTTTGCAGTACTTGATCTGCATTTTCCTCCATTATATGAACCTTTGCATGTATTTGTTGCTGAATGCATAATGGTTACTGATAAAATGAAAGAACAAATTAGTGTCATAAAGAAAGAAGTTCCGTAATGAACAATTTCTAGAAAGATCACAAACTTCGTATTGCAGGACGAGGAACTTAATAGAAATGGAGCAATCTACATAGAAAAGCACCCGCAGATAAATATTAAGGTGGTAGATGGAAGTAGCTTGGTTGTCGCTATTGTCGTTAATAGCATTCCGAAAGGAACAACAGAAGTCCTCTTCAGAGGCAAGCTGTCCAAGGTTGCGTACTCCATAGTTGCTGCTTTGTGCCAAAAGGGTATCCAGGTATGTGAAAAATCAAAACTTATAGAGATCCTAATTATCTAATTAATTTGATCCGAATGGTTAAGTTGAATTCAAGACATCCCCTGATAACATGTTTGATACCTGAACTCAACAAGACTATTACATGATCACGTCCAATCCTACTTGCCAAACACGATTTGACCTTTCTATTCTTCTAAAAGAAATATATGTATATATTCTAACAAGTGATAGTTTATGTCAGGTGAATACATTGTACGAAAATGAGTATGAGGAGCTTAAACTAGCTGTAAAGTCCCAGAGTAAAGTGGTACTCTCAAAAAGCTATACTCAGAAGGTAAACATTTCCCCAGTTTATATAATACCATAAACTTCCATATGAAAGCATGAGCATCAATTTCCAATTTGATATGTAGATATGGCTAGTTGGAGATGAGCTGACAGAAGAAGAACAAATGAGGGCACCAAAAGGAACATTGTTCATCCCCTTCTCGAAGTTTCCTCCAAACAAAGCACGGAATGATGCCTTCTACCAGTATACTCCAGCTATGGTGGCTCCCCCATCACTCGAGAATTTGCATTCTTGTGAGGTGAGCCACTTCAATGTTCCGTTTCTTTTATTTCTCGAATATATCTTAAATTGCAGGCAAATCAGGTAGACAAGTGGGGGGATTCTACTCAAACCAGTAACATATTGTTGAGACTTGGGGTTCAATCTTGCAAGCTTAACATCAATTTCATTCAAATTTTCAGCATTAGACTTATAAACCTGATTTGGTTCATATGGTAACACTTTATACAGAATTGGTTGCCAAGGAAAGTTATGAGTGCTTGGCGTGTAGCTGGGATTGTGCATGCCTTAGAAGGATGGAATGTGAACGAGTGCGGTGACACCATGTTCGACATCGACAAAATTTGGCAAGCCAGCCTTAAACATGGATTTCGACCTTTAATGTTTTCGACTTAATTGAACATGAATTTCATCGCCTTGTTTTAATTAGTTTGTGCTACATTTCCCATTTCCTCTGTCATTAGACCTACTACTTGTTAATTATATTTCAACTTTGTCTTCTACACGCTCTTTCAATCGTGTTTATTTTTTCGTC